AAAATCATATTATCAAACTAAATGATTGGTTGGATAAATATGTCATTTTTATTACAAGTGTAAGTTTACTAAAACTTTTATCATGATATGACAATTGATTCTTTCTATCCCTTTTTATTATTTACACAATGTTATTTCCTAGCTAGTGAAGTTTCAATGCCCTAGTTAATGCCCCACATATTCCCATTATTATTTATATTCCTTATTTATTGATAAAAATGGAAAATACGAATTATTATATATATATATATATATATATATATATATATATATATACAAAAAAAAAGGGGGAATTATATCATAAAGTCTTTCTTCCCCCATTGTACCAAACAGATTCTCCACTAGTATTATTAATGTTTCCAGATTGGGAATTATTTTATAGCTTCATCTTGGGAAAATTATAGCATTGAGTCTTAAGTTATACTCAACTATTTAATAATAAGTGAGGAAAAAGGGGAAAAGGTAATCTATACAACTGAGGGAAAAAAATAAAATGAAAACGCATCCAATTATCTTGGTTGCTTCTCTGAGTACATCAATGCATAATTTGCAAAAGCTCAGCCATTATATGACATAAAATACTGTCCATGTTTACAAAAGTTCACATAAAAGAATCAATTACAATATGTTGTTATCTCCCTTTTTTTTCTCTTTTAAAAGGTGAATGAGACATAACAACTGATAATACATGTAAAGTCTATGCTTAACAACCACATGCTTTAGGTGAAATTATTTCATCACCCTCCTCACCAAAACCAAGTATGTGTATACCTTTGACTTTTCATCCCAATCATATACTATTACTCTCTCCCTTCTTTTATATCATATACTTTCATAAATTATCACCAAATCATGATTTATGAGGGATTAATTACATTCAATTTGGGGTGCTTTAACCAATTTTATAATGTGAACTAACACAGATATGCCAGAAAATTAATCATGTTGATCATTAGTGAGAGAAAAACGTCTTAATTACTCCATGATCAGAAAATTTTCTTGTTTAATAACTCATTAACAAAAAGAAAACTGTTCTATGGGTTAATGGATAATGATCAATGGCAAGAAGGTTTGCTGTCCTTGTTCCTCTTATACTACATATGATGATACCATATAGCATATGATATAGGTAATGATAAGATATAGAGAGGCTGCTGCATAGTTGTGACACTTAATATTTCTTTAATTGACTAAATAAATAATTTTGCAATACAGTTGATAAAAGAAACATGTTTCAGAAATATTGAAATTTGATATGGAAACTCATTTTGTTTTATTTTTCATATGAGTAAGGAGGATATATATAATCCAACAGTTAAATTTAGAAGGAGGCCGAATAAAATTAACAGACAAATTATTAGAGAGATTAAAGATAAATTATATATTAGTATATTTAATATGTTTAAATAAAAATATTGTTTTCGAAAATATTAATTTTTTTTTAATTTGATCCTTAATTTTCATTTTTTTCAACCAATTCTATTTAAAATTATTCTTTATTTTAATCTCGTCTCTTTGTTAATAAGTTGTTATCTTATGTTATATTTTTTCTTACATAACATTAAAGTTGGTTTACATAATTTAATTGTAACATAAAACAAATGAAATGTGTCATGGTTAACGTCATGTCATTAAAAAATTTATATATAATATAGTTTTAATTTTTAAATATTCAAATAATATAATTAATTTCAGTATTTCAGCAAGAAATAAATGTTTAAAATATTTTTTTGTTTGTTAATTAAGTTATATTTTACTATCAAATATGTGGATAAGTTAATATAAGATTGTTCTTAGATTAATCAATAATCTCATATCTGAGTCTTGAATATGCAATTAGTTAAATATTTAGGCTATTATTTTCTTTTTTTTCAAAAGAAAAAAAGCAAGCATGTTCTTATGCATATAGCTCGTCTACCTCGATAGACAAATATAAACTGCCTGTTTTTATCCAATGCATATTCTGGTTGTAAAATTGACTATGAAAAAAGTTATTATTATTATTATTATTATTATTATCATCATCATTCCTCCATCAAAGCTGAAGAGTTACTACCTGTTTGTTTATGAAATAAAACGGACTTTACATACAGCACAAGGCACATTGTGAAAAAAATGTTGCAAGAAACAAACAAACAAAACCTTAGACGAGTCAAGTGAAAAAAAAAACTCAAAATCATTTGTAGCATAAAATTTAAAATTTAAAACTCTATATTTGACCAACTCATCTTCTAAAATAACCTAATTTTAACAGTTATATTATAAGGTCATGGGGTGTCTACCACCATTGCATATCTTTGTTATATCATAGTTTTCCTTATAAAGAAAGTAAATGTAATGGACCTGATAGTGCATCTAATAAATTTGAATCAGATTTTACATATACATATAACATAATTGTTCAACTTGAGAAATTGAGTTTTTCATAGCATGGTCTTCTACCATGAAGTTAATCCAAGGTGCAATATATGATCACGGATTTGTGGTCAAGATAATTTGTTCTATGCATAAGAACTGGTAACACTTTCTTGAGTCTCTTCATGACCATTTCAATTTGCATTTGAATAATATGTATTTGAGTTGAATTAACTTTATTATATAGAATTGGTTTTGATTAAAAGTAAGTTCAGAGTAATGTGATTCACATTTAGACATTTGTTGCTTAAAAATAAATTTTTGTAATAAAAATTAGTATAATTCTTTTTAACAAAACACAAAAGCTACAATTTATCACGTTAGTTTAAATATGAGTTTTTAAATAAAATTAATTTTGATTTAGAGTACCCTAATATTAATTTCTTTTACAAAATCATGTAACTATAAAATAAACGCAATTTTGTGTCAACTTCATATATCCAAAAATGCCCTAAAAGAATAAGGAAAGCAAAGTCACGAAAATTTCAAAATTACTATCGTGTGCTCAGTGAGAACTTTTTTATTTTTAATAATTTTAAAACAATTAACTCATTTTCCAAAATTTAAAATAAAAAAATCACAATCAAACATGTTTTCTCCCTATTATTTTATTTTTCATTAGAAAAAAACAATGATGAAATTAGTAACCAGCCCCTTAGTTGTTAGATCAAGTTAAAATTAAGAGTTTAATTTTGATGGTTAGTATAAAAATGTTTATAATATCAACTAATTAAAATATACGATAGTATAACTTTAATTAATTATTATTAACATAAACCATTTTTACTTATATGATAATATACAATTGATTATCTGTGAATAAAAAATTTAATTTATTTTAGTTAAATTCTAAAATTAATTGAAAAAAAAAAAGTTTTGAGCTAAGCTAGTCAAATACCATGCACTGATTTAACACTCTAGACTAGTTTATAATATTATTTTCTTACTTCAATTTGGTTGAGATGTGAAGAAAATAAATCATGGGAGGAATCAACTATGTATCAATCAGCCTAAAACATCTTCAAATCTGCCACTTTCTAATAAAAACTTGACATTATTTCCATCTTAAATCAAATGGGAAAAATTTATATATTTGAAAACATCTTGAAATGAGGATATAAACATATATGTAAAATATAAAAATAGATGTTTTAACTTTTAAAAATATTTAAGGAAAGATGTTAATAATAATAATAATAAATATAAATTTATTTACTTTAAAAATGATTAATTAGATAGTACGAAACTAACTAAATTAAGATAAATATAATTTTGAACAAAAACAATCATTATTATCATTTTGGTGAAACATGATTATTATATTTTGAACTAAACTAATATAGGGGGCATCATAACAATGTATTGTAAAAAGAGTAAAATTTGAAATTGAAACATATTTTGGTGATCTTTTTGTAAAAGATGAATTAAGTGAATGATAAGTGGAGCGCAATTAGAGTGGTAATCGAGGAATAAATCAAATAAGAAGACGACAAAAGTAAACAAGTAGCTTAATAATTGAAGTTAACCCTCAAAATTTTAAGAGCTTTTCTTTTCGTAAGGAAGAAAGTGATTTGAGAAAAGCTAACAACCATAAAATCCTTTTTGGACGTTACTCTATCATTCTATTAAAATTCAGACTTATAAAACCAATCAAAATCACCATATCAATGCCTTCAACCTCTTCCTCTTCTTCGATTTTAGTTTATTCTTCATTTATGATTCACAAAAAACATTGACCCGTTTGTCTCTATTTTTAAACTATAATTGCTTTTTTTTAATACTAATTAGATATTTTTGGTAAATTATATGATAAAAGATCGACATTTTTAAAAAATTACATTTATAAAAAACTCTAAAAAACATGTTTTGAAATATGAGTGATTTTCGTTTAATCGGTAAATTCAAATATATTTATTAACATCATACTTTTAAGTTAAACTTTTTTTTAACCTTTCCTTAATTAAAAAATCCAAGTATTCTTCAATAAAATACAATTTATACTAAGTAACCTATAATTTAGTGATCGAGCACTTTATCTTAATAGTAAATTAGATTTATAACGTAGCATGTGACTTATTGTGACGTAAGAAATGGAAAAATAAGCTAAAACAAAAGGAAGTAGTAATCGAGCAGTTTATCTAAAAGTAAATTTATAATTGTAGATTGTTTTAATTAAGTACTTTTTTTTTTTTTTTGGTTTACTTCAAACTAATAAGTAGAAACTACAACAAATTTCAGTAGTAAATAATTGGGTCTTCTAAATGTATTTTAAGATTTTTCATTATTAATAATGTGTATAAAAAAATTATTAATAAATTTAATCATCGATTAAGAAATATTTTTATTGAATATATATTTTATTTTGTGTCGATAAATTTATAATATAAATTTCTATGTAATAAAATTTATTAAATACATTATTAATTAGGTTACTATTTAAATACAGTTTTATTGCATATTAAAAATTTGATTAAACTAATTCTTTAGATTTGTTTTTCTGATTCTTTTGTAAGAAAATAAATAATTAAAAAAAGTGACCCTTTTTGGTTGAGAAATACAAATTTGGTTGACTCATCTCTCTCTCTCTCTCACTTTCTCTCTCTCTCTCTTCTTCCATGCTAGTTCCTGTTGATTAGCTCCACTCTATATGCACCTCCCTACTCCTTTTTCGTAGCAGTAACTTGAAACTCTCTTAACTCACTCACTCTCTTCTATCAACTTCTTCTTCTTCATTTACACAATTCATCAAACACCTTCGACACACTTTCTCCTCTCCAATCTCTGTGCTTCCCTGCCTCAGCAACCGTGCCAGTGTGCAACCCTTTATGGCTAAATGCCCCAAAACGAAACTCACTGCCACCACAATGGTGAAACAACCCTCACCACAAGCTCAACCCCAACACAACACCATCACTGTCCCGTTCTGACCCTTAACCTCAGGGACCCTCAAGACCCCATTTTGGGCACAAATTCAGACACCCTTTGCGCCACAACAATGGCTTCCACCAACTCCACCTCCACCGACCCTCTTCCTTCTTCTTCCTCCGATGACCTCGCCGTTAAAGCCGTTAACAAACGTTACGAGGGTCTCATCACCGTTCGCACCAAAGCGATCAAGGGTAAAGGAGCGTGGTACTGGGCACACTTGGAACCCATTTTGATCCGAAACCCCGACACGGGTTTGCCCAAATCGGTGAAACTCAAGTGTTCTCTCTGTGACTCTGTGTTCTCTGCTTCTAACCCTTCTAGAACCGCTTCTGAGCACTTAAAGAGAGGAACTTGTTCTAATTTCAGTTCCGGTTTGAGACCCGGTTCGGTCCCTTCACCTCTTCCAATTTCCTCTATCACACCCGGTTCGAACCGGAAGAGGGGTTCGCCCCAAATGGGTGTTGCATCACCCACAAGTTATCAAAACCATGCCTTGGCAATGGTGGAGTCTTCAAGGTTTGGTTCTTGTGGTGGGGGTGAAATGGGGTATGGTCAGGTGCATAATAACACGGTGAACCAGCATCATCATCATAATCATCAGTTGGTGTTGTCTGGTGGGAAGGAGGATTTGTGTGCTTTGGCTATGTTTGAGGACAGTGTGAAGAAGCTTAAGAGTCCAAAGACTTCACCTGGTCCTGCTTTAAGTAAGGATCAGGTTAATTCTGCTTTGGATTTGCTTGCTGATTGGTTCTATGAAACTTGTGGGTCTGTGTCTTTGTCTACTCTTGAGCATAGAAAGTTTCAGGCTTTTCTTAGCCAGGTTGGTTTGCCTGCAACTTTGAGGCGTGAGATTTATGGTCCTAGGCTTGATGCTAGGTTTGGTGAGGCCAAAGCTGAGTCCGAAGCTAAGATAAGGGATGCCATGTTTTTTCAGGTGGCAAGTGATGGTTGGAAGAGTAGGAATTGGTATGAGTTGTGTTGTGGTGGTGAGAGTTTGGTTAAGTTTATGGTGAATCTTCCTAATGGGACTAGTGTGTTTCAGAAGGCAGTGTTCACTGGAGGAGTGTTGTCTTCCAAGTATGCGGAAGAGGTTTTGTGGGAGACGGTGACAGGTGTTAGCGGGAATATGGTTCAGAGGTGTGTAGGGATTGTTGCGGACAAGTTTAAGGCCAAGGCATTAAGGAACCTCGAGATTCAGAACCATTGGATGGTAAATACTTCTTGTCAGCTTCAGGGGTTCAATAGTTTAATCAAGGATTTTAACAACGAGCTACCACTTTTCAGGGTTGTGACTGAGAATTGCCTAAAGGTTGCCAATTTTATAGACAGTGAGTCCCAGGTGAGGAATATTTTTCTCAAGTACCGAATGCAGGAGTTGGACTGTGGTGGGTTGATTCGAGTTCCTTCACCAAAATGTGATCCGTTGAAGAACTTTGCGTCTGTGTTTCCAATGCTGGAAGACATTTTGAGCTGTTCTAGAGTAATCCAAATGATTATGTTGGAGGACACGTTTAAGGTAATGTGCATGGAGGATCCAGTGGCCAGAGAAGTCGCTGGAATGGTTCAGAATGAGGGGTTTTGGAATGATCTAGAAGCCGTTTATTCGCTTGTGAAGCTTATCAGAGGAATGGTTCAGGACATTGAGGCCGAGAGGCCATTGATTGGTCGATGCTTGCCTCTTTGGGAAGAGCTGAGAACCAAAGTGAAAGAGTGGTGTGATAAGTACAGTGTTGTGGAAGGGCCTGTGGAGAAAATAGTTGAAAAGCGGTTTAGAAAAAATTATCACCCTGCATGGTCGGCAGCATTTATACTCGATCCACTTTACTTGATTAAAGACACAAGTGGAAAGTATCTTCCTCCGTTCAAGTGTTTGACACGTGAACAAGAGAAAGATGTAGATAAGTTACTGACGAGGCTAGCTTCCCGAGAAGAAGCTCATGTTGTGTTGATGGAGCTAATGAAATGGAGGTCTGAGGGACTTGATCCACTTTATGCACAGGCCGTTCAGATGAAACAAAGGGATCCGGTGACTGGGAAGATGAAAGTCGCAAATCCACTGAGCAGTAGACTTGTTTGGGAAACATGCTTGAGCGAGTTTAAATCCCTGGGGAAGATTGCAGTGAGGCTCATTTTTCTGCATGCAACCTCATGTGGATTTAAGAGTAATTGGTCTTTCATGAGGAAAATTTCTGCAAATAAACACTCAAGAATTGCCTCGGAAAGAGCTCAGAAAATGATATATATTGCAGCTCATGCCAAGCTTGAAAGGAGAGACTTTTCTAGTGAGGAAGAAAAGGACGCAGAGTTGTTTGCAATGTCTGGTAGTGAGGATGGCATGCTGGCTGAGGTCTATGCTGATGCACCCTTAGTGTAATGTGCTTTTTTTTCAACTCCCATAGAATTGTGTAATTTTAGGATTTATCAGATTCTTTCCAGAACTCTTCTATTATTCCCTTATATCTGGTGGAAAAATTTTTATTGCTGAATTGAGCTTGAACCAGAAGGAATATTAGAAGGGACCTAAAAAGCATGTTGTTAGTGACTGTGTTATATTATCAGCTTTGATTCCAACGAATCATCAATCTTTTTTCCAGCAATTATTTTGTACTCTTAGAGGGTTTGTAAATTAGGAAGCCTTGCTCTCATTTATTAGCATAACAACAATCCAAAGGGAGCAAGAGGAATGTCTAAAAAATTTTGCTAGAGTGATTTTGTAATAAGAATGATCGAGTCCTGATTCTAATATCAATCTACAACTTAAAAATCTGAGCTTCATTAAGCTCTTGTGGAATGAATATGCAATGTTTACTAACTTCCACTTGTGTTAAAGATTCAATTCCTAATTGTCATGGAAACTCTCAAACATTAATACAATCCTCTTCTACTTGTTCTTCTATTTCATTTTCTATAAGATCAAATACTGAACTAGAATGGCATTGTACATGCTCATGGAAATAGCTTTCTGAATATGATTATCATCTATAAAGTTCTTTGGTTCTCTTTTTTAGCTGTTGACATTGATATGACATTGATATTGATATAAAGTACTCATGCAAAATATTTTAAAATTCAAAGCAAACTGAATTTTATGGTCTGTGAAAATTATTAAAAAAGCAGAAAAAGTTTATGAGTAGAGCATTTTTTTTCAACGATAACTACGTTAAAATGACTTCATGGGGTGGTGGCATTAACATGATTTCTTCACCTGAATGGAGAATAGGACGCTACAATAGTCCATGGAATTTTGATTATATATCTCAATTGATATTTCATGTCTTGACATGTCACAACACAATACATTGTCTATAGATTCTTCTTGCCACCCTAAATTGTGTGACTACTGAATAGAATAAGATGAATTATCATACTGTTTGACCACCTGATTTCCATCACATCCAAAGATTTTAGTTTTAGACTGAGTTGACCAAAGAACAAAAGGTCTCACTGCTTTCTGCAAACTGTCTGATGTAGAAGTTTCAGTTTCTCATAGGTTCTCTAGCAAAATAAAGAGTTCTCTTTATGTTTCCTGATTTTTAAAACCACTTGAGCATGGACCATGTAGTTGTTGAACATGCCTCAACTATTTTAGCTAGCCAAAGTTTGGCACATTTTAGCAATTATTCTGATTTTGTTCTATTGACAAAGAAATAATAAGATAATTCCCTAGTACCTATCAGATAATAATTTTTCACTTCCATTCAATCACTTACATTTTCAATTGGTGTTAAAATCACCCGTAACTGAGCTAAAATCCACTTGCAAGTAAATTTCAACTTCAAAGCTGTAAGGACAGCATTTCTAACAACATTTGTCATTCCTTTGTCTCTCCTTTTCAAAGAGGGCTATTGATGCATGTGATTACCTTTAGAGGAAAGTGGAAACATATATCTGGCCGTTTTTTGGCCTCACCTTTTAAAATTGATTCAAGTTTTGGCGTCTTCTGTTTTCAACACAGTTCACAACAGTGTCACAAGTCTTGCCCCTTCATTTAAATTATTATATTTTCATAACTAGAAAGAAAAACATAACTGTGGCTATCTCTACACCTGATCCTACTAATGTTTCACCACAACTAGAGACCATATGATTAGTTATCACAAAAACCTGAAAACCATATCAAATAAGTAATATGATGAAATTTATGTTCTTACTCTCATGATGGAAACAACATCAAATAATGTGGTTTACACCTACCACTACATGCTCTTGTTGAATAAGGATTTAAGTTTCTACATATATGACACAAAAATGGCAGGCTCCCAAAATTTGAATGTTACTTTTTGCTGCAGTGTTGGAATGGCTTGAAGAAGCAGTAGGGTGGGTGGCAAACCCAACATAACATGGTTTTGACGTGTGTCAACCTCGGAAGAAGATAAGAATCTTTGTATCCTGAGAAGCATTTCTATTAGATATAGTCTGGCATATCTCTTGGTGTGTTTGTTCCTACAAAATGGTTAGGACCCACATTGGAGAGTGGATATCCATATCAATGGTTGTCATGGTCAAAGGAGAGTGAGGTATGAGTGGCCTTCCTTCACATCAATTTACATACTGTTTCTCTCTCTCTCTCTCTCTCTCTCTCTGTGAGTGTTATTATTGTTTTTGTTTAGTTAATGCCCCACAAGCTTTGTTAACTTTAGCTTCAAACATTAATTTTTGTGATAATATATTTTGTTAACTAATGGGACCTTGTGTGCCAGGTTTATCTCAATGTTGAAAGTTAGAATTTTGCAGAATTAACCGTTTGGATTGCCATGATTGCTAAAAAGGCTTTGGAAAAAAAGTTGAAGGAAGGAGTGTAGCCTCAAAAAGCAATTTGCTACGTCAATATTTCAGATTATTGGAGTCATGAACAGCAGGTTGGTGGTTCAAGAGTTCTGGTGGTGATGGAATTCCATATCATTTTTTCACTCTTCTTGTCTGTCATATGCACATGAGTATGACACCCTTTTTCTTCTTGTCATACTTCTATAAATTCCAGAAAATGATGTAGCTGAATTCTGAACTACTATTAACCTAATGCAAGCACAGCAGTCTCCACTCTACTATACTAGTCAATAATTAAAATTTAAAACTATCTATCTCTGCCTTTATCCGTGCAAATACAACTTTATTCAACATCTTAATCCATCCATGAAATAAAAATATTGGCTATTAAACAATTTATATATGAAGAGAAGATTTTTACATTAATATAATAGGAAACCAATAAAAAAAAACTCATTAAGTATTAAAATAATAAAAAAAACAAAAAAATAGATAAAATATATATTTGATTCTTATAATTAACACTCATTTAAATTAGTTGTAATAATTGAAAAATTTATATTTTAGTCTTTTTACGAATGTTTTATAATATTGAAATTTTCTTTATTTTAATACTGTTAAAAAAGTTCAACACAAGGAATAATAATTTTTATTAATGTTATTATAATTTTTTTTTAGATATAAGAGCAAATTTGTAAATGAGAGCTAATTATAGAAATATATATATTTAAAAAAAAAGTGTCGAAGATATGTTAATATTATCTGAAACTTTTTGAGTTTATATGCACGAATTGCTGCCATTTGAATGACAACTAAAGTACCACATTCTCCAATAAATCATGCCACAATATGTTATCTTCTTTAACTGCTGCATGTACAGTGGCTTGAAACTAGCATTAAGAAAACCACTCCATTGTCTACCAACCTCTCATTCACATTAAGGAGCAATTCAAATTTCATACATACTATGAAGTATTACACTAAATAACTTCAATAAATTTTATATTGCATATTTAACTGCACTGTTATTACATGTCACCTAAGTTAATTGTTCTTGTCTCGGAGCATATTGGTAATTTTCTTGGCTATTGTTTTAAGTATCTCCACCCACCTCAAGGCAAAGAAATAATGAAAGTCTCTGTAGAGTCTTAATGACTAGCAAAAAGTCAAACAAGGGTGTAAATGAAAAAGTTATGTGGGCTGACTGAACTCATTAGTAGTGTAGGATGCTGTATTGCTGATTTCTTCAGAACTGATTTTATCTTTCTACTCAATTTGGTGTAGTGACAGTGGATCATGTCGGCAATGGCAAGCAATTCTGACTGCTGACCAACTAAAAGGAAAATACTTTTTTTCCCCTTTTTCTTTTTTTAATTTTTTAAAAATATTTTTCCCTTTTGCTTGTTGTATGGTATAATTTCATTTTTCATTACAGTCTGGTTGTTCTTGTATAGGAGAAGAGGATGTTATGATTGGCATAGGACAAGACCATCTTTTTACAAGAATCTTGACACTTTCAATGTTCCCCCATGATTAATCTTTCTTTTTATTGTCTCTCCTTTTTCTTTCCACTAAACACAACCCCTCCTCTTGTTTTACAATTGAAGATACCATTTTCTAACCAGATAATTTTAGTGTCATGGACATGTATTTTGACTCTTAACCCTTCATTGCCCTCATGATTTTGTTCATTTTTTCATGGCTTACAAATTCATTATTATAGGAAGAAAAAACACTGTCCTTATCATGTATGTATCTTGTGTTTGTGGGAGTGACCAAAGGACCCTTCCAAAAAATCAACTGAATTTTTTAAAATAAAATAAAAAGCAAGAAGAAGTAATAATTTAAATAAAAATGGTAGGGAGAAACAATATTTTTCTGTTGAATTTATATTATCATCTTGGTCTTTCTAATTTTATATTTTAGTCTTCATATTTTTTAAGAATATTAATTTTGGCAATTTTCAGCTGTGACTTTACAAAATGTGGTACAAAAATTAACATGCGATAACATTTGACTTAATAGAACCTTGTTTTTATTTATAAATATTTATTTAGAAAAAAAATACCAAACTGAATGTTAAAAAAATAAAAAATAGCAGAAGATATTTGTTCTCATATCCACCAAAGATTAAGATAACAGTGTTCTAACCTTTATTATCTTGGGTAAGGTGATTTAACATTCCATTATGAATTATACTTTTATTCTCACAAAAAGGGCAAACCTTAATCTTACAAGGAATATTTTGGAGCTGATTTTAGACACAGTTAATATTCCCTCCTTCTTCTCTGTCTTTTTTATGGCAATGAGCAAACTAACCAAGTAAACTTTAACCATTGTTAGTATTTTGGTAGATTTGAAAAAATGAGATTGTGATGATGACAATGATTACATGTTAATCAATTCTTCTCCTATAAAAATGTGAACTGTGGGACAATGATTACACATTAATCAATTCATATCATATCAAAATATTGACCGTGGATTTTAAGATCCATGGTTTTGCTTGTTATATACCAACTAGCCCTACCTACCCCTCCTCACAGGTCCTCTTAATGTGTACATTTAATGTAAAGTGCAAACCCATATTATTCCCCTTTTTTTTAGGGCATGCCAATCATAACAATGTTAAACACATGTTTGTGGAAACAAAGGGTAGTTCTTGTCACTTGAGCCACCACAAAATAAATAACATTTTAAAAAATTTTATTAACATCTTAAAAAAGTTGAATTTAAATATTCATAAATAAAAAATTATAAAAAAACATATTTGCTATATTAAAGTTATAAAAGTATAATAAATAATTGTTTTATATTAATATTTTATTATTATTAATTGTTTATCCAAGTTGAGTTGCATTTTTTTATTTTAAAATATACTTAGGTGTATTACATTTAATAATGTTTTCATGTTCTGTCTCGAAGTTTTTTTTTTTTTTACAAAATTTTAAAGTTAATTTGTAAATAAAAAATTAAACCATTTTTTTATGTGTAATTAAATACATATAAATTTTTCATTAAAATCATAAAATTTAATATATTAATATAATTAAATATTATATTTTAATGAAAAATTATTAATTTTTCTATTTTGTATTAGTCGACATACATTAAAATAATAAATAATAAAATGGTGCATTACATAAGTGATTTCATTTGAGAATTTCTCTTCCTGGAACACACGTGTGTTCTGCTAGGTATTTCTGTGTAGAATAAAAGATTTCATTTGAGAATACATAAATTGACCCAACTCAACCAAATTCAAGTTCGTTCTGATCAGATTATGGATTACGGTATAATTATATTTTACAATAAATTTAAATTATAAATATGAAAAAATAAATAAATAATTCAAAAAAATTAAATCAAGCTTAACATTATATAATATTAACTAAATCAATCTCTATATTATAATTGTAAAATAGTTTTCAAAATAATTTTATTATAAATGTAATTATTTATAAAAATATAAAATTTTATTGCTTAATTATTAAATTACATATATTAATTTTAAAATAAATGTACAGTGCATATAAAAAAAACTTTTATGTCTGAATAAAAAATTAATATAAAGTATATATGAATAAAAAAATAGGTTATTAATATTCTTTATAGTTGAAGGGTTGAAACAAATTAATCATCTACAAAGGTCAAATACACATGATTTACTATGAATAAACTAAACTAATTTAAGAGCTATTAAATGCTACATCTCATCATCGTCAAAATTCTTTTATACAACATCTTATTTTTCTTAAATTAAATTTATTGTTGCGTTATTAACATAAATTACCCAATCTAACATGCATATAAAATGAAATTATCATAATTGATTCCGAAATATATTGTTTTAAGCTTGGGTTTCAGAAAGATAAGAAGTCTACCTGTCTACAATATTACATATTTTTGGTTTTAAAGATTAATATAATTAGATAAATCACAATTGTTAGAGAAGCAACATTGGATAAGAATAAATAAGTGATAAGAACACACATATATAATGTTTTAAGTTTTTTTTATTAAATGAAATATCTCTTTTATTTGTATAGTTTGTTTGTAGTTTAAATAATGGAGAATTTTTTTATAGCAATGTTTTTTTCTCTCTAAAGAATGTTGAGAAAATAGAGAGAAAGAAAGAAAATTAATTAATAAGAATTCTTAACACTTCCTTATAATAAGAATCATAAATTATCATGGATTTTAATCAGTTTATAGTCAATTTATGTTAGGCCTAGGGTCAGTTCTTATCTATATTTAAATAAACTTCAAATGTATTTTCAAATTGTCTATCAAAACATTTTTAAAATATGTAAAAAGTTTCTTATTTTAAGGAGTCTCTAAAGTCCCCTTGTCTTTTGTAAGGCTTTAGAAAATACTTTTAACTAAGACTCTTTCTCATGTGACAAATGCATATACTATATATTACCTTAATTTATTTACATAAAAATTCAACCTCTTCGTCCTCTTTGATTTATAGAAATACATTATCTAATACTTGAAATTTCCAAATACATCAACAATGCTTTTGGTGTTAATGCGAATCCATTAGCTAATTTTCATGTTGAAAAATATCACAAACTTGAGGCTCAGATTGAAAGTGGAATAGAGATATTTTTTATTATATATGGTTTTGTTTTTGGTCTAATTATATGGTTTCAATGAGTTCAAGCATCAATTTCATACAATACTTTGTAACAAAGACCCGTGATATTATATTCATACAAAGGGTTAGTGGAAAGGTGTGTGTCTATGTTATAGACATAGTAATTAAGAAGCACTATTAGTAGTACTTAAAATTAATTTTTGCTAATTGTAATTAACTCAGTCATCAATTCCTCATACCTTAATCATCCCTTCTTGTACGGCTTAAGCTAAGGTCCAAGTGAATAGACATGATATATAATGACATATGAAGAACTAATACCATGTTAAATTAGACATTAACTGCAATTGTTAATTTACTGCATACACTTGTTAGGCATATAACTTTAAGTACAAGCCATTATGTGCTATTTCTATCACATGGTGTGTTACTTTTGCAGCTCCCACTTAATGCTTGACCCTACAAACTTTGCCAAAACAAATCCTCTATGCATGAGATTTCTTTCTTTTCTCATTCTGTCTTCACTGTATATCCCACCAATCTATGGCATAATTGGCTCTTCTATGAGTGGACCCAAATTCAAGAGAATCAGGAAAACATTAGGAAAAAAAATAATTATATTGTACTATTAGCCTATTACCCACAATCCCTCAAAAATTACATTGATTAAAAGGGAAGATGGGTCCTTGCATTATTAGACAATAGACATTAGAGAGAGACTAATACATAAATATTACATATAATTGGTGTATAAAGAGAAGGGGAAGGTAACAATTGAAAGAGTAACATATATAATGGCACCAATCAGCAAGATTTTTAGTACTCAATTGGATTACACTACTTTGGGAAAGTGACCAACCAATAATCATTCACACTTGAAAGCTAACCATACCCTCATTCTGAAAGCAATCGATGGAGTTCTTTATGAGATCTCATTTCAAGATAATGCTATGCTTTTATTATTGTTATTATTATTTTTTCTTGCCTTTAAGATACCAAGGAGGTTCAAGATCAAAGCTAAATACAGTTCATATATGTTTTTTAGATTGAAAAAAATACATGAAAAGTAGAAGGAAATTAAAATCTCATGTTAATAATGAATTTTTGTCGTTTTAGTTAGAACTTAACTCTCATAGAGGAAAAATTAGTACAACCATCAAATCTCGATTTTACCTTACCTTACCTTACCTAATAATGCTTATCGTGTATGATCATTACAAAGCTTTATTATACTTTTCTTTTTTGTATTCCTCTATTTCCATAATTACTGTTGTACTCCCAAACAATTCCTACAACTGGAACCCAAAACCTATTATTGTACTCAGCTTTGTAGCAAAAACACATGTAAATGTAATCTCATTGGACCACTTCAAACCTAATTACATGTTAAGATTCTTAGGTATTGGGTTGTTAATCATATTTGTTTGTAGTATTATGCAATATCATGCTTGTCATTTTTGTTAAGTGTACACTACTTTAGCCTATTTTATATTATTCATAAACACACGTGTGTACAGTTTCTTTTTATTTTTCATGATTTATTAATTTTAACTTCTTACCAAGTTGCAATGGATTTCAGCATAACCATGCAAGGACAGATGTGATGAATTGAATTTGGAAGTACTTTTTGTATTTTATGAAAAAAGAAACATATTCTTATTCTTATTAGAAGCTGCGTGGTTGAATAGTTTTGTTGAGGCAAAACTTTAAAGGTTTCACAATCTGTTCTTGACCTTTTTCTTTTATTAGTCATAACTAGTGATTTTGGTATGTACTACACATATATTATTAAAAAAAAATTAAATAAACAATAAAAAAGCATAATACATGACTCTTTTGAAATTTAATAGAGGTATAAATTTTAAAAAGAATAAATATCATAATTGTTAATAATAAATTTTTACTATATCATATAAATTAAGTAAAGCAATAAACTTTAAATTAAAAACTAAAAAATTATAAATAATATTAAATGTAGAAATTGTTTTTGCACAAAATCAATTTTTTAAAATACTTTTTCATTTGAAAAAATAAAAACTATTTTTATTTAAGAATTTGTGTATATATACATAAAGGTTGACTGAAATTTCTTTTAAACCATAAATCATAACAAGAATTTTGTTGCAGCAAGGTAATCATAAATAGTAAAAGGTTGAGACATAGAGAATAGAAAACACCTACCAATAATCTGCATCATCAATTAGTGAGTATTGTGAAATTGGGATTTGATGGGTTGGACTTATATCGAACTTATGATATGTGGCCAATCATTTTGTTTTGGACTTGTATTGTCCAATCATTTTTTTGGGGTCCAAATATTACATTATTCTTTTTCTTTTTTTTTTAAGTATTATTTTTATTTATTTTGACAGTTTATTATCATAGCTTAGTCTCTATTACTTGCCCGTTTTAGAAGACACATTTCATTGCCAGGCTTGGCTAACATATGTCGTTTAGGATAAATATTGATTTTATATATTCAATAAAGTGTAGTGTGCATTAACTTTAACTGTGTAAGTTATAATATTCTAAAGTTGCTACACCAATGTTAACTTGGAAACATTTTTAATTTGCATTATACAGTTTATTAAAGCTAGTTAGAAAAAAATGGTAAATTTTTTATTTTAAAAAAATATTAGTCTAGTTTATGAATAAGTTCTCATTAGAGAAAAAAATAATATAAAAAATAAATAAGATTTATATGATAAGTTAAAAATAATTTATCTCTTTAAATTTTAAAAAAATTAAATAAAAGGACTTCTAAAAAATAAAGAAGTTAACTTGTGAAAAGAGTTTTATTTATTTTATTACTTAATTCTTGACTCTTATGAGTATTTATTGAGAAATTTATTAATACTAAGTCATTCTTTTATTTGAAAAATTTAAATTACATGTGCAAATAAATAAATTTTGAACATTCTATTTGTAATTCAAAACAAAAATTAGTCTCGCGAGCCTAGTTGATTTAGGGCATAAGTAAATGGATATAAATGATGTATTTTTATATTAAATTTTATATATATATATATATATATATATATATATATAAAAGATCTTCTTATACTAGTATAAATCTTAAAATTCTTACACTTAATCTGAGCTTTTTATTTAACTTAAATCTAATAAATTATAATTTATTATTTCACTGGCCATTAGATTTAAGTTAAATAGAAGATTCAAATTAAGTGTAAAAATTTTTAGATTTACATGGGTGTAAAAAGATTCTTCTCCATATATATAATATTGAGATATTTAGCTTTTATTAATACATCATTTTATTTTTTATTTTAGATATTCAAATAAGATAATATTTATTAAAACAAAAAAATATTGTACAACATCTTTTCTTTTTTTCTCTGAAACTATACTCTCAACATACCCTTAAAATATTTGATGACAAGGGTTCAATACCTTCTATGAAATATATTTTTTTTCCTACCAACTTAAGAAGGACCGCTTACTCCCTACTATAGTTACAGCCCATAAATTGGATCCCAACGGGAAAGGCCCAGTCCATGTAAATAGGCCCAACCGTGACGAAAAACTTGGGTCATATCAATTACTTAAGTTGGCCCAGTCCATGTATCTAGAATCAGCACCTTTTTATGACAAAAAAAAAAAAAAGAAAGAACCTGCACCTTCTCAAAACATGTTTCGTTTCTACTCAACCTTTGCAAAACCTTCTCATTCTGATCACTATTTTAGACTTGTCTCTTTGATTGATTCATGCAAATCAACGCAGCATATCAAGCAGACCCATGCCCAGTTAATCACCACAGCTCTAATCTCACACCATGTTTCAGCCAACAAGCTCCTCAAGCTAGCTGCTTTTGCTTCTCTTACTTATGCCCACAAACTGTTTGATCAAATTCCTCAACCGGACTTGTTCATTTACAACACCATGATCAAAGCGCATTCTTTGTCACCTGATTCTTGCAGCAATTCCCTTGTGGTGTTCCGCTCATTGACCCGGGATTCAGGTCTTTTTCCAAATCGATATAGCTTTGTGTTTGCTTTTAGTGCTTGTGGCAATGGGTTGGGTGTGCAGGGAGGGGAGCAGGTTCGCGTTCATGCCGTGAAAGGTGGTTTGGAGAACAATGTGTTTGTTGTGAATGCCTTAATTGGTATGTATGGGAAGTTGGGACTTGTGGAGGAGGGCTGGAAGGTCTTTGAATGGGCTGTGGATAGAGACTTGTATTCTTGGAACAGCATGATGGCTGCTTACATTGGATCAGGTAACATGAATCGGGCTAAGGAATTGTTTGATGGAATGCAAGAACGAGATGTTGTGTCGTGGAGTACTGTAATAGCTGGTTATGTTAAGGTATTGCTGGATTGGGAAGCAAACAAATAATGACACTAGCATTTTATGTGATTGTCTTGTTCCTTTAAAGTGAACATTTCACTACGTTGCAGTTGAAAGTATGTCATATTTTGCTGTATTTAACTTTATTGTTAATGTACTCTTTGTAAAGTTACTTATTGTTTACTATAGGTTGGCTGTTTCATGGAGGCTTTGGATATGTTCCACAAAATGTTGCAAGTTGGTCCCAAGCCAAATGAATATACCCTTGTAAGTGCTCTTACTGCTTGTTCAAATCTAGTAGCATTGGATCAAGGAAAATGGATCCATGCTTACATAGGCAGGGGCAAGATTAAGATGAATGAGCGGCTTCTTGCTAGCATCATTGACATGTATGCAAAGTGTGGTGAGATAGAATCTGCATCAAGAGTTTTCTGCGAACACAATGTAAAGCGAAAAGTTTGGCCTTGGAATGCCATGATTGGTGGGTTTGCAATGCATGGAAAACCCAATGAGGCTATAAATGTCTTTGAACAAATGAAGGTTGAAAAAGTTTCTCCTAATAAAGTCACATTCATTTCCTTATTGAATGCTTGTAGTCATGGCTATATGATCGAGGAGGGAAAATTATATTTCAGATTGATGGTTAGTGATTATGGAATTAGTCCAGAAATAGAGCATTATGGATGCATGGTAGATCTACTTAGTCGATCCGGGCTCTTGAAAGAGGCTGAAGACATGATTTCAAGTATGCATGTGGCTCCAGATGTTGCAATTTGGGGAGCACTGCTAAATGCTTGTAGAATCTATAAAGATATGGAGCGGGCATATAGAATAGGCAAGATAATTAAAGAAATGGATCCTAACCATATAGGCTGTCATGTTCTGTTGGGTAATATTTATTCTACATCTGGGAGATGGAATGAAGCAAGAATGCTGAGAGAAAAGAATGAAATGAGTAGTGATAGAAAAAAGATTCCTGGTTGCAGCTCAATTGAATTGAAGGGGACATTCCATCAATTCCTTGTTGGAGATCAATCCCATCCTCAAAGTAGGGAGATATATTCATTTTTGGATGAGATGACAATCAAATTGAAGATTGCGGGGTACGTTCCGGAATTAGGAGAAATTTTGCTTGATATTGATGATGAAGAAGATAAAGAGACTGCTCTGTCTGTACACAGTGAGAAGTTGGCTATTGCTTTTGGATTGATGAACACAGCACCTGGAACACCTATTCGCATTGTAAAGAATTTAAGAGTTTGTGGGGATTGTCATCAAGCAACGAAATTCATTTCCAAGGTGTACGATCGAGTTATTATCGTTAGAGACCGGACAAGATATCACCACTTCAAAGATGGAATGTGTTCTTGCAAAGACTACTGGTAGATAAGGAAAGTGCAACGTATCTCAAATAAATCTCAACATGCTTATTTCCCTTTTCGCATGCCCGCATTCCTTACTACTGGTCTTTGATACAATGTAGCATTTTTTGTAATGATCGTGAACTGTTTCATATACTGAGTTGTTGAGACAAAGGTATGTATTTGATGATAGGTTTTAGCTGGAGCAAAAGAAAGGTTTTAGCTGGAGCAAAAGATAATGTTATGGATACGATCAGCCCCTTTGATTACATACAAATAAGAAATTACAGATCAAGGATGGAAGAGGTACCATTGGCAATTGGCTAATTACAGGGTGCTCTTGTTTTTTTCTGCTTTTGTTTGATTCTTGAAGAGTGGCCTCTACTGTTGTGTCAATTCTTTACTGCTTCACATGATGACAGTTGCCCGAGGTTTGTACACTTCCATTTCTATTGTATGCATGCATTGAGCAAACAATAGCTTGAATATGCTAGCTCAAGTTTGTTCTTGTTGGAACAGGTTAGGTGCTATTGTTGAAGAGTTAATTGCTGTATAGCTCTTCTTGATCATTTTACAAAAGTTTCTCTTTGGATCTATACAAATAGCTTTTTTCCGTGAGGTTATTTTCTCAGACTCACATTATTTCAGACTCAGTTTATTATATTTTCCTGGTTTTGTGCATTCATTGAGCAACGTTTATACGTGACTGGTAAAATTTTATGCACTCGGCACTACATGAAATCTTAAGCAGTAGTTTTTCAATAATAGTTCTTCCCTTAATTGTCATTTTTGACGTTGGAGTTTACAGGTATGGGAGCATGTTATAGACCAGAGAGAGCGAGCGATTCAGAATTTTGGACAAATAGATACAGACGTTGGAGGCTTAAATATAGGATACAGACTTGCTACGAGCGTTTATGTTAAGATTGTTTCAATGATGTTAAAATATAACACGGCAATGAAAATCATAAAGGAGAAAATCCTGTTACAAAACTGTACTTTTTAATACATTTCTGGGACAATTCTTGTGTCTACTTTTTATTCTTATTTCTGAATTTGGAAAAGAGAAGCCGAACCTGAAACTGATTCCAACTTATAAATTGAAACCACTGACACGACAATGTTAGGGAACACGTATTACATGGGTTTGTCCACATGATTGCATACACACGAAAAACAGAAAAACTATATTTTATATTATTTTATTTTAAATTCCTATGAAGCATATTGCATATCATCCTTTGAATTTTTCAACAAATACCATCAGTATAAAGATTATATAATACGACTGAAAAGAAAATCTAAAATCCAGCAAAAACGTTACATACACGAGAGAGAAATAGAGAGGTATACATTCTATGGGAATGTTAAAACATCACTGAATATTTACTTGAGCACTAGCTGCTTCCATCATTCCATTGCGAATCTGCTCCCCAATATCCCTAACGTGGCCAGGACCATGGGGTATAAAAACTGTTGTGTTCTTAGATGAGTTTCCAAGGTCTTTGATTGTGTCAAAGTACTGAGTAATCATGATAAGATCCATCACCTCCTTAGCGGAAGTGCCTTCTACCTTGTGGGAGAAATTCAAGATGTTCTCTCTCAAGCCATCTGTGATAGCTTGCCGCTGCCTTGCCACGCCAACCCCACCCAAATACTTGGCTTCAGCTTCTGCTTCTGCCTTTTTAACTAGAAGCACCTTTTCAGCTTCTCCTTTGAATTCACTAGCAATTTGCATCCTTTGAGCTGCAAGGTAAAATCATTCCTCAATGAATAGGTTGCATACAGGAACATCCAGATGGGATAAACACATACATACACAGCTTATGCACACACTACTTGTTTGAATGAGAAAGGCAGACCCCTAAATTGCGCAAGTAAGAATGTATCTGCGATCAATTTAATTTAATTTAATTTAAAGGGTATCATAATCTTAACCCACTAAAATTCAATGATATGCATACAAACATGTTACATCTTGATATGAAAATAAAAAGAAAAATGACACAAAAAACCACCAAGTATCAACCATGAGTTATACTATCAACCACGGAAGGATCAGGTATAATATCATTCACTCTTATTACCTGCATTGATCTCATTCATTGCCCTTCGAACAGAAGGGTCGGGTATAATATCAACCATGAGAATATGCTCTATGGTATATCCATATTCACTCATCACCTGATACATAAATTTCAGGAGATAAAGACGTTGTAAGCAGATAAATGATCCAGCATAAGAAAGTGATTAACCACAGCAAATTGACTTGTCACATTTTTCAAAACAGAAGCTTCAACATAAACAAAGGTTCTTCTATCACTTACCAACCAGTTCTTACACATTTCATTCACAACTTATAAATAAGACAAGTACTTAACAGCCTTAGGGTACAAGTTAAAAAATTAAAAATTAAAAAGATTTTATGTAAAAGTTTTATTAATGCACTTTTATGATAATTTTCAATGCACACCTATCATAATTTCTAATTGAAAATTTGTTTGGAAGAGCCTATGACTGTCACAAACTGTTTTCAGTTTATTTTAGTAAGCTTCTTCGTATAACTTATCAAAATAAGTTATTTTCAGCTTATACCAATAAATCTCATAGCTAAATTTATAAAATAAGTCATCGTTTTAAAAAAACAAAAATTATTATGAAGAGTTTTCCAAACGCATCTTATAAATAAAAGCCGTGAGTTACCTTTTCAAGTTCCTCCAAAACAGCTTTGGCAACCTCACCCTTTTGCTCAAAGAGCTCATCCAGGTTCATTCTCGGAACAATAGCACGTGTTACTGTAACACAACACATAATTAAAATCAAATTAAAATATAAATAAAAGGAAAATCAACAATCGTATATATATGTGTGTGTGTGTGTGTGTGTGTAGAAAGAGGAAAAAAGTGGAAGCGTTAAGAAACAGAACCATCAAAAACATAAGCCTGGATCTGTTCCTGAGGGTTTTGCAACTCATAGAAAGCATCATCAGCGTTTTCCTTAATGACTCGGTATTGAATCGAACACAGCAACTGCACAAAGACATTGTCCTGCACGACCACAATTCAAAATAAATCTCTAATTATTATTATTAAAATTGAAAATAGAAAAGAGTGAAAAATTGACCTTGGTTTTGGTTTCGATGCGGACGTCGAGGGAGGAGATCCTGGTGGAGAGGATTCCGGCGAGGCATTCGCCGGCGAGGGGGTTGAAGAAGTGGAAACCAGGTTGGGCGAGACGGTTAAAGCGACCCCACTGTTCGATTACGCCAACGCTCGATTGAGCCACACATCCACAAAACAAGCAGAACGTGTTCCCCATTCTTCTTCTTCTGATGATGATGATGATCCTATTCCTATTCCTAAACCAACCACACCTTCAATTGGTTTCTTTTCTTAATTCAAAGTAAACTTTCATTTTGTACTATAAATAAATAATTTAATAAAATAATTCAAAAAAACTGATTTTACTATAAATAAAATATTTATATAAAAAAATACGTATTTATTACATTAAAATTATAAAAGTATAATATTGTTTTATAAATTATTATTATTGTTAATCATTTATTACATGTTGTTAGAGTTGATATTATCATATTTCTTTCAAAGGTTTTTCAAATTAATTATTGTTTTTAAAATAATTTTAATTAAATATATAATTTTTATACTTTTATTTAATTATAAATTATCATACTATTTATAATTATTAATTTTTGTAATAATTATTTTTAATTTATTGATGGTGTAAAAAAAATATACTATATTAAAATTAATTTTATCAAATATGTGTTGTATAACAAGTATTAATTAAAATTAATAAATTAAATATATTAATAATAGTAAATGTTTCAATTTTAAATATAACTTGATTATTCATTAATTTTTTTAAGTAAACGTCGTTAAGCAAACTTTAACAACTGTCCACGGCTTTGAATTTTGTAAATTGTCCAAATTGTCACGGGAATAGCATCATAGTCAGTTCACGTGAAAATTGAAAATTCTCATTTTAGTCAATTAATTAATTTCCACAAAGTAACAAATCACGTTTTAACAAAGCAGAAAATTTAGTTATAATTTTTTAAAAACATTTTTAATTAAAATTAAATTTTTACTTTTATAATTTACAATTATATTAAAAAAATTTATAAAATAAAATTCTAATTATAAATACCCAAAAATTTAAGACTTTTTCAACTCTTTTTTCTATTCAGAAATCTCAATCACTCATATTTTTGTACGTGGCAAAAAAATGTTCATGTATTAAATAATTATTAATCGAAATCACTATCGATTTTGACCATGCAAAATTTTTCTTTTTTAAAACTTAATGTAACGACATTGAACCTTTTGCGTTTAATTTGCTCGACTCAAATAAGAAATTATAACTTTTTCTTCTTCTTATTTTTACTCTTTTTTATTTTTATTTGCATTTTACAATTATTTTAATAGTTGTTCTTTTCTTTTTATTTCACATATTTGTTAACTTTTTTTTTTTACCTGTTTGTTCTTATTTTATAAATTAAGAAATGTATTTAGTAACTATTTACGTTCTTATCAGTTTATTTGCAGGAATTCATGTTGGAGTTCAATGCCTATGAAAAGAAAAAAAAATATCATTACCAAATGTCAAGCTGTTTTTTAATTAATTTTTTTTTACTTTTTAGTCCCGTTAAATATATAGAAAAATATTGTTAAATTAAATTAGAGTATTTTTAAATGAAAGTATTTTTAAAAATTAATTTTTTATCATACTATGTAAATTTTTCTATATTATTTTTTAATTTTTTTAATTTAATATCAACTTAAATTTTATATTTTTACATATTTTATTTTATTTTTATTTAATATAATAAAAATTTTATTATTATTAATTATAATATTTATATTTAAAAATTTTATGAAAATTTAAAATGGTTATATAATACATTTTTAATTAATTTTTTAATAAATTAATTTAATTCAATATTTCAACAAAAATTACTAATTTACATAATTGTTTTTTGAAATTATTCATATAAAAAATGTTCATTTTGGCAGCAAAATGGTATAACATTATCAACATCAAATCTACAAACTCTTGTGGGATGGCATCACCATAACATCTTTGAGGGAGACATTATTGTTCTTGCTTCTCTCCATTTCACTTAAATAGTATTTATATTTTATAAAGGGTTATCTTTAATGTATATACCATTAATTTACTTTATTCAACAGCTGTTATGGTGTATTTAAATTAATTTAAAATTTTAATAAAAAAGAACTTAATGTTTTAATGGAATTATTTTAAATTTATTTATAATTAATTTTAATATGTCATGAAAATAAATTAATTTTAAACTAATAAAATTATGAAAAATATTTTTTAAGAAATAAATTAATAAAAAATTATTAATATTTAAACAAACATGTGTTGAATCAATTCAATTGAAAGTACCTTATCTAAAAAGTCAAATAATTACAAAAGTTACTTTCTTTCGTATTTTATCATGTGTATTTTTCAAAGTTATAATTGTTTAAGAATAATATATAAATTATATTTTTTATATATTTTTCAGATTTTTTTATGAATATCCATGTTTATATTTATAATTTTTATTTTATTATTTTATATAAAATTTATAATACTTAATAATTTTTTTCTTATTTTAAAATAAAATATATTTTACAATTATTATAAATTTATTAAATTTTTTTGCTATTTCTAGTTATAGAATTAAATTAAAATAATTTGTTTTAGAGAAAATTAATATTTCAAATAATTTTATTAATATTAAGAATTATATATATATACACAGACTCAAGTAGAGATATTTGGTAGTAGGCAGCTCTTCTTGTGGCATATTTACCTACGGCTGAATAAGATGAAGACAAATTTTCTGTATTTGATAGACACTTGATAACTTGTAAATATTTAAATTTAATTATTAAATAAATTAATGTAATAAAAAAATTTATCTATTAAAAAAGTTAATAATAGTCATACCACTTCCTTTTCATAAATTGTACTTATGATTAATTCTTAAATAAATCAATAACTTTGGTTACTCTAACTCATTTATCTATAAATTTCAAAAAGAGAAAAAAAAGTATCTACAAAATAAAAGAAAACAATTATAATATTAACATAATATTAATATATATATATATATATATATATATATATATATTTGAAGTTGGATATTGAAAGTAAAGATTTAATGTTAATTTTTATGTTCTATTTGCCACCATTGATTATTATTGATCAAAATTTTTTAACACGGTATTTTAGGTTATGTTATATAAAACATTTATACTATGAGGGTAAATATTTGTATGTGTGCAGTAAAAGATTATATAAGGTGTGTTGTAATATTTTTTAGAAATTTTTATTTTTAATTCTTGTACAACGAAGGAGCCCAAACAATCATGCATATATGTACTTTATAATTTGGAACCATGCACATGTATCTCATAATTACACCTCACGGCACAAGCTAGCCATCCAAAACAAACTTTAAAGGACATGAACAAAAATTAAATGAGCTTAAAGTTAAATTTATCAAATAATTAGATAATTTTCACAAAATAAAAACATCTCACTTTAATTAACAAAAACATGAAAACAACATAAACAAAATTTCTCACATTCAAGAAGCTGATGCATGTATCCATTTCTCATTATTGTTTTTAGACCTCACACCTCACAACATTACAACGAGTACACTCAACCAAACACTCACTCTAAAATGCCAAAAATTCTCACTCACACCTTTTCGTAAACCCCTTCTTCTCATAACATATATCATCATGTAAATATATGATGTTATATGTTAAGATTTTACTAGCATCCCTTTCAAAATTGACCAGAAAGTATATGATTACACCAAATACTATTGTCTGAACAACAGTAGTATATGGACTCTCCACCATCCCTTGATAATAATCACATTAAGTAATCATGATATAAGCAATTGTATAAGCAATAGGAGAGTACATTCAAGTGCTTTCTCCCTATAAAACATTGTCTTTTCTATTGAAACAATAGGTTGTTCAGAGGATGCATTATTTACACCAATGAAGAGGCATGCAGCAAAAAGTGTTTCATGATAAGATACTTTTTCTTATGACAAATGAGATTATAAAGGATGCATACCTTTTTGAACCGATGTCCCAAAATACTATACCAAATATTAAGGCACATATGGTGGTGAAAATTATGTTTCAAACTTCAACTGTTGTGAGCCAGGAGGAGGTTGTCCATATTCCTTAATAGATGCTAACACATCCTTAAGGCAAGTATGTGACATAATCATTAATCTCACATGGAAAACAATTATTCTATTATTTATAATAATCACTGAATTGATCCTATCCTCAAATGCTAGAAGTATGGGGAAGACCTTGCCCACATGAAAATAAGTAAATGTATTGATGAGAATAAAAAAAGATTCATTGAAGAAAAATGCTTGAAAGCATTAGAAGAACTTCAAAAGCAAAGAGGATAAAAGAAATCCTAGAGAAAAATACAAATTTTTAATGAGATTATAAATGACATAAACTTATATGAGGTGTGCTTGTTAATAGAGAAGAGAGATTGAAGAGCAAGCACTCATGCATATGACAAAGACAGTGAATTCACTTCAGTTTGTACAAAAATAGCATGTTCAATGTAAAATTAAATTCGTTTAAACAAAAATGATCAAGAAAAATGTCAAAAGAATGACTTATTAGTAGTTTATAAAATATTGGCTGCAATGTTTTTTGACATATAAAATTGATTGTTTCTTTGACCTTTGCTGGGTGATGGTGGATAGCTCATCAAGATTTAATATGTATGGTAATGAATTTGGAAGAGAGAAAGTTGTTGCAACATGAAGTGGCATGCCAACAAATTTAATAGGAAAGTAGTGTTATACTCTAGCAGTGAAAGAGGAAGAAGAAGTGATGATTTAAAAGTGTCTTTTACCACATAACATGGTCGCCCTAGAATCATACAAAGAACATTTTAGTATTTTCTTTGAGTGCTAGTTCCTAATATAAAAAATAGTGTTAGTTTGTTATGCTTAACATGATTGGAAGCATCAACCGGGACTTTGCAAATTTTAAGAAGGAGCTTAACAACTTTCTCTATGAAGGTAAGGCTGAGCAAGTCATTTCAATGACATAGAAAAGTGCTTTTACCATAGTCATAATCAAGTTAGCTTTTTATTATGGTATATCGAATACGTAACTACTATTTTGGAAACTACCAACAAGTTCTTTTTCCAACATTTTTGCTTAAATAAATATTTTTTGGTTTAAGCAAAAATATTATTAAAGTCATTTTTTATCAAACAAATTTAATTTTACTTTAGAAAAATGAAAATGGACATCACGTTAATTAAAAAAAAAATAAAATCTGAATCCAATAGTGAATAGATAGAGTTATTTA